ATATATGTATATATATATATATATATATATATATATATATATTATATATATATATATATATATTATATATATATATATATAACTATATATATATATATATATCTATATCTATATCTATATACATCCGTACATATATATACATATACACAAACACACGCACACAGACACACATATATATATATATAAATATATAGACATAATATAATAATATAATAATATATATCTCTCTATAAATATGTATACATATACATATACATATATATATATGGGTGTGTGTGTGTGTGTGTGTGTGTATGTATGTGTGTGTGTAGATAGCACATAAATTACATAAAGCAACATACTACTCAAAGGAGGATACGCGTCAACGTTAGATTTGTATAAATATACGCTGCGCAATGAATGTCCTGGCGAGGCTCTCGCACGTTCCCTAAGTTCATTTTACACACGAGAAGTATTTTCTACATACTCTACAATTAAACAAAAAAACCGACAGAGTGCGTTCAATGTGAGTAAAACCGAACACTTTTGCAATCACAATCGAGACTTGAGCTTCGTAGACACGCCACGGCTATAGAGCTGCGGGCATGGCATAGTCGCGCTGCTTAAGATATCATTGCTGATTCTTGCGTACTTTTTTTATTGAAAAAGATAGCTTTGCTCAGTCATTTTTTAGCGTTTTAGTTGAGCTTGTTCATTAATTCGGTGCACCCATGCAGATGCCCTGCTATTCATATCGTCTATGTAGTACGTGTGTCGTGGCTGCAGGAGTGAAGGAGTGTGGTTATTAGTACCGGTTAACAGTCCTGACATCAGACATGACGGGGTGGTTGGATACGGACAAAGGAAACGCGTACCAGCGTGCAGACAAATGTATATACGTGACTTTGGACAAAGGAAACGAGTATCACCGTGCAGACAAATGTATAGACGTGACTTTGGACAAAGGAAACGCGTACCACCGTGCAGACAAATGTATAGACGTGACTTTGGACAAAGGAAACGCGTACCACCGTGCAGACAAATGTATAGACGTGACTTTGGACAATTTCCCGGGTGAGTGGAGAGGTATCTCTATATCGGGCCACTGAGGGTACACTCCTACGCTACGCGGAGAGACGCTTTAACTGTCAGTTATATATGTTATGTGGATTTTGATCGCATTGCATTTCCGCAGAATATAAGTGCTTTAGTAGTAGTATTAGTCCAGTGGTCGTAGACACGCATCAGTGGACAAGTATGGATCAGTGTACAATCCGTGTGCACAGCACTAGCTCAGCATTGATGTTATGTTAAAACATGTAATCTAGTCTTATCAGGTATATATCGCTATTTTCACTGTAATCGTGCACAAATGTGCCTATTTGCAGTTGTAATTCTTGTTCAAACCTAACTACTAACGGTGTGTAAGAAGAATGTCTTGTTGTTTTTGTTAAAACCTAACTACTTACAGTGTGTAAGAAGAATGTCGTGTTGTTTTTGCTAAAACCTAACTACTTACAGTGTGTAAGAAGAATGTCTTGTTGTTCTTGAGTTCCGGGCGCCAGTCGCCGTTCTTCTTCCAGTCGATTTCGCCCTTGAGCTTCTTATCGTTCAGGCCAATGAACATGATGCGTGGAGCTGTAACGGACACAGCAGGATCACACGTAGTTAGTCGCTGTTCTATACTCGGGACCACTTTGTTAGTCACCTTTACTACCCTGTACGACCCAGGTAGTCGCTTCTTTAAAATTTGTGAGTCACCTTTTTATACTGCGTTAGTCGCCAATTTGAACTCTGTTTTTTAGTTACCTGTTTAAACTTTGTTAGTCATTTTTTAAACTATGTTGGTCACCTGTTTAAACTTTTTTAGTCACCTGTTCATATTTTGTTAGTCACCACTTTGATAGTCACTTATGCGGCACACAACAGATAAGCGTCCACACTGACTCATAGGTACACGCATTTAACGCGATAAAATACTCATGCAGGCGTAAACAGATTTACGTATGTGCTGATCTCCACGGCATGATAGCAACGGGGTACATCGAAACAGTGCCATGAAAAAGGAAAAAAGGGCAAAAATAGGGCGAAACAAGGAAAAAACTAGCCTTTAAAGTGGTGTATGTGAACTCTATGTAGACATTTAGTTCTGCACAGCTACCCTTTTACGGATAGCGGACCATGCCGGCAGCCTGGTATACAGGGGTTAAAACCCCTGAACCCCAAAACCTCACAGACAACTTAGGTGTAACAACTAATACTATATATGCGCATGTACTAACAGCAGCTTAATAATACATCTGAGCATGTGACTAAACGGGTGTACGCCATTGGATTCAATAGAAGTGAAAGACCGAGACACACACAGGAACATCCATATCGAGTGCATCTGCTAGCCATGCATCCAATACGCGCTCTTCAATTATATATACAAAGGCACAGATCCAGATATAGATACAGATACAGCCACAAATATAGGTAAAAATACAGATACAAAAACACAAAAACACAAATTCGAACACTGGCACGCGTATATATATATATATACACATACATAGATACATAGATACAGATACACAAACACAAATTCGAACACAGGCACGCGTATATATAAATATAAATATAAAAATAAAAATAAATATAAAAATAAATATAAATATAAATATATATATATACATACATGCATACATACCCACCCACCTACATACATACATACATACAAACATACCCACCCACCCACCTACCTACCTACATACATACATACAAACAAACATACCCACCCATCCACCTACCTACCTACCTACATACATACATACTAACATACATACATATATATATATATATAATACAACCGTTTTTATCCTGTACATGGTTCTACACACATACCGTCCGTTAGTATGCCCACTCGAGAGACATAGAAGAGCCCCCTTCGTTTCTTAACCGCACCGCACAGGATAATTTTCTCACCCGGTTGTAGTAGGTAATTCCTATCAGATGAGAGACCACCCATTCAGAGGGTATGAGGGATATTTAGGGTTAGGTATTGGGTTCTAAGGTGTAAGGTTTAAGGTTTTCACAGGAACGGAACATGCCTATGCGAGATACAGTTGTATCCCCACATGGACTCACTCACATGCACGCTCTCTGTTTAGTTTAAGGTGTGAAGTGGTCATTTGTTCAGCTTAGACTAGTTTTGGTTGTAGGTGAGTCTGTACAGACAGCGTGTACACCCAATAACCAGAACATACCACCACATGCGATTAAGTGTGGTGGACATACACTACATGCATCCCCCGTCAAGCTTTCTCGTGGAGAGCTAACTATACAACACGGACATGTACATACATGCAGTTGCTAGCACACACACGTGTCACCAGATACCAGCCGCTGCAGCCACTTCCAATGCGTACACAGCCAGTCTCGCACACATACATGAGCATATACACATGTACATACATGGGCATGTGCACGTGTACACACATGGGAATGTGCACGTGTACATACATGAGCATATACATGTGTACATACATGGGTATGTGCACGTGTACATACATGAGTATGTGCACGTGTACATACATGCAACTGTAGATGTACAAGTACACACGCATTCCGCACAATGTTTTGGATTGTTCTAATCTACAAATCTGTGTTTGTCTGCAGAGTTTTGTCTTATTGAAAGCTGAAGGCACAAGCGTGCACATACATACTTACCTACACAGATACACACACACACGTACCTAAATTTATTTATATACTGAATAAGTCAGACACAATGAAATATACGCTTGTATCGTCATTACTCAAGACACATACACCACATCCAAGTAGTATATACGTTGCGTATAAGTTATGCATATTATATAGATATGTATGATATATATACATATGTGTACAAAGTTACGTATATTATATATGTAGATAAGTTATGTATATATATATATATACATGTATATATGTGTATGTATATATACCATTCTGAGAAGTCCTCCTCTGCGGGTAGAGGTGTGGCGGGGATGACATCTCCTATGTTCAGCTGAGCGTTGACGAGATTCGCCAAGTCATCACTCCGCTCACTGCGATTGCTGCATCTGCGCTCCTTGAGTGATATCTGATTGGAGGATAAATGTAGAAACCCGATTCGAAATTAATACGAAGTTGACTGTGAGATCATATTTATGCATGTAGCAAAAGAGTAACACCAGCTCCTTGAGTGAGATCTTGATTGGAGGATAAATATAGACATCCGAATCGAAGTTACTACGAAAATGACTGAGAGATCATATTTATGCATGTAGCAAAAGAGCAACAGCAGCTCCTTGAGTGAGATCTGATTGGAGGATAAATATAGACATCCGAATCGAAGGTACGCTAGGAGGAAGACTGTGAATAACATACAGACAAGGATCTTATGTATTTAGAGTACCCTTAAATAGGTGTAGATTCAATTCCCCACGAGATTTGCTGATATTGTACGAGCATCACATGGATGTATCACACGAGAATGTATACTTTGATACACATTTTCTACAGTCTGGTGCATAAGAACGCACACGTACATCCGAAAGTAGACACATACATGCACACACACATACACAAGTACATGCACGTACACGTCCACACACACATACATATATATATATATATATATTATACATACATACATACATACATACATATATATATATATATATATATATATATATATATATATAATTGTATATGTATATACATATACATATACATACTCATATAAATATACAGATACAGGTACGTAGTGGTATTTACGCATGAAAATATACCTATGCGTATATATGTGTGAGAATAATACCAACGTATTCAAATACCCGTACCTCCTCATCAATTATATCATTCCTCAAGTCACCGCATTCGCACGGGTCTAAAGGCAGAATCACGGACGTGTGCGCGATATGCCCATCTGGACCAACATTCATGTTGGATGTCATCTCCACTGTAGTAAATAAGCATATACATATCCGATTATCCATAGGCTGAACGTATATGCGCATGTGACAAAGGTTATAGATGCACGGATGGGATGTATGTGGATGTGTCATGTCGCATATCTCATCAGCCGTGCTCAGAGAAAACAATTCTAGTTTTGAGGATTGAACGGGTGAATTAGTACAACTTAAACTGCCGAAGACGGGCGTGTTCTCAACGCAAAGGAATAATCTCACAATGCTGGGTTCCACTCCGTCATCATATACGTACCACAAACATGCTATATACATAAAAAAAATATGAAGATACCGATACAAATATACAAATTTAAACATACATACATATGAACATATACTATATATATATATATATACACAAATACATATACATCTATATGAGTGTACCTCCATCGCCAGCAGCCGGTAGATAGGGTCTGAGTTCAGGGGGCTGCATGGTCAGTACTTTATCCCATTCCACACCGTCGAAGAAAGGGTCCTTCTTAAGTTCTGCATAACCTCCCATCTCGGGACATCCCAAGCGTTGGTGCGGGTCAATCTGTGACTCGCATAGAGTTGCAGTCCGTTTGTAGGGGGGCGTGGATGGGTAAGTGTGGGTGGCTTTATGAACGGACGACGAGTGTGTGTATCTGGCTATATATATTTGCATTTGTTGGTGATTAAGTGTGTGTGTATACGTATATATATATATATATATAATGTACGAGATATGTATAAATACGTATGTGCCTTTGCGTTGACGTGTATCGCTAGTACGCGGTCAAGCGTGATAAGTAACGCCATAAGACACAAAAATCGGACAGAGTCATATGCCTTGTCATATACATAGATGGTCGCATTCTAAGTCGGCTACGCCCAGGCATTACTAATCACATCTTTACCCAAATATACCCCGTTAAAGCAAGATACATGCGCGCTCGGCTTCACTCGGTTTAAACTAGGAATACTCAGAAGTGTGTGCCATCCACATACACGCCGTGTCGGATATGCTATAAGCTCGTACTGTGAGCTACTGGACTGACTACACCAATGAACAGCAGTCCGTATACTCCCTCAAGCCTCATACTAAACAGTGGAGATTCAGGACAATCCCATGGATGCCTTCATAGTGCGTCGCTCGACAGAATTATATGGCCTATTAAAACCCTAAAACCCTATATGAGAGCCAGGCATACCATAGATACAAAGTGCATACCGGATTACAAACGTTATCATGGGACCCCCGCATTCCGCGTAGCGGTGCGGTACATTGGTGTGCATATGTGCGGAGAATACAGAAACACCGACTTGTGCTCTAAAAACGTTTCTACATACCATGAATAAACACACAGAACAAACACATACTCGTGAACGTACAAATGCATACGCTCGGGCTCATACCGACAGATGACGATGTTTGGTATACATGTGTGCGTGGGCTTATAGAGGCATCCTTGTTTATGTGCACATATACATAGGTGTACGCATTTGGAGATTCATAACTTGTTTGTATTTGCAGTCCAATGTATACATACCACCAAAAGTTCTTTGATCAGTCGTCTCGCTGCGATCGGGAAATGCTGTGGAAAGTCTGCACGCACAGAGAAAGACCATATGTCATATAAGGAAGTAGTAAAGACTAATCAGAGAATGAATGATAAGGGGTCTATGCAACGATACCTTAAGATCACACACTATCTCATGAAACGATATACATCCCGCACACAGTGAGATGACAGATACAATCCTTCGATCAAATGGGAGCGATCGAACGATCGCAGATTCTATGCCGTTCGATAGTATAGAGACACAACACTCGATGAACTATATATATATATATATATAGCTACGTATCTATGTATACATATCACAATCCCAAGCTATCAAATGCGTTCAAAGTAATCCTGCGCACACTGTCTCAACATAGATGTAAAGTTCTGATCTGTATGTACACACAAGACACCTCACCAGTGGCTAATCAAACAGTTTGATGCTCGTCAACGGTATGGAAAAGACAACGAATTCCATAAAAAAATGAAGCAAACTCTGAAGTGTTCTAATTTATACGAACATACCGAAACATGCATTGCTCACGAGATTGAAGGTTTGGTATTCAGTCACGCCTTTGAAAGGGGGCCGACCAGCAATGATTTGATATACAATACACCCGAGCGCCCACAGATCACTAGCCATGGACGTCTGCTTATTTTTCAGCAATTCTGATGAGGAACGATAAGGTGATACGTCGGAGTAAGCGGGTAGTATATTTGTAAATAATTATATATACGCATTAATGTATTGACGAGTATATATATATATATATATATATATATA